CCCGGCAAATCGGGGCCGTAGTGCATCCCTAGTTATACTCCAAATGCGTTGATTTATTCTAAGCTAAAAATGGTTGTATTTGATGAGCATTTATTTTCTTCTGACTTAGCAACGCATTTCTTTCGCAAAACATTTCACTCGTACGATACAACGCAAGGAATCAGGTCGGATGAACGGTGCGAACTCGAGGAAAAAATAACTCACCACATCTGCGTAGAATTTATTACGGTCGAGGACATCCGTAATTAAGCCCAGTCCTATTATAAACGCGTATAGGTCGAGCATTCTTATAATCATGTTAAAATAATATCACCGGAGTTTCATTCTTATACGTACGTCCGTAATGTACACGCGTTAATACTGATCGGTTATTATGAAACGTCGCCGCTACGCATAAAACGGCTGTTTACACTATCATATTACTATTATGTTGTTATAAAATTTTGCTCGTAATTTCGTTATACGATGTATGTCGTGATATATTATAGTGGTGTATTACTAGGAGATTAAAATATTATTAAAATATCCATAATAACGGTGCGCGGGTTAAGCGACCGTGTCGAGTGCGGACATTGCGGTGCAACAGCGGTGTATTGAAAATGCGCTCTGCTCTGGTTTCGTAAAAATTTTACCATGGCAAAATCTGTTCGAACCGTAGAATACTATTATATATTATAAGCAAACAAAAATAATAAAAATATAATATTTTCAAACAATAGAAACCCCACACGTAATTTAATAATTTTTAGATTATTAGTATTATTATTATTATTTTTTTTACTTATAATCATTATCATAATATGTCGCGACGCGTACGTACAGTAAGGTGTACAATCGACTGAAATCCGAACAAATGGTACATCATTATTCTTCATACAGTCCGCGCATAGCCGTTACGTATCGTTGATTTTTGCATTGTGTGCGTCGCCAATGTTCCACGAAATTACCCGGAAAAATGGTTTCAAATCGAAGTCGTTGTTTATTTTCATTCGTAGACACGAAAGTCAATGTCAGCCTTATAGTAAATAAAAAAAATATATATATAAAAAAATCGCGCGATACATAATTCCCATAAACATGAACGTCCTCGCGCGTGTATTGTAAACCATATGGTTTTAATGTATTGTTATTGTACTCGCATTACCTACTTACGACTAACAATTATGCGCGCTGACGTGGTAATGGGAAAAACTTCGTATTTCGAACACCTATTGAATAATAATAAAAATAATAATAAGGGGTTTTACGAGGCGGTAATTAACATTATATTCCACTTCGGTGAGAATTAGAAAACGCCGAAACACTTAGTCAGTTGGAGTGTATAATTAAAACGCGTACAACAATCGCTTCTATTAACATTTAAAAATCGAACTGACGAAAAAAATCAAATTATAAAAGTATAATGAATATATAGGTATATTCATCATGCGGTACACATTTTAGTATTTCACTAGCACAGTAGGGTTTTTGTCAAATTCTCCCGAGAGATCCACGGGAAACGTAATTTCACGATTTGGATATATATTATTTAGTAATGGGTAAACGGACGTTTTACTACTCTTGATAAACGTTCTAAGCGAACGTGATGATAATATTTTAATAGTTTTCGTGAAATATGACGAAAAAAATTTTTTTCTCTCTAGACCAAGTGCGGTCGTCACGACACTCGTGACTCTTGCGAGCTTGCCTAAAACATAATAATATAATAATTTATCATGAATGGCTTTATATACGTAAGATTTTCTAATATATGCACGTGTGAGAATGGAAACGATGCACTGGACCTTGAACTAGTTTTTGAGTAGCTAACGATATTTTTCTCCGTAATTTCAGTGTATACTATTTTTACGCGCATGCTCTGCCCGTGGATACAATTGTTATTATATTATATACCATTCGCGACGCCCCGGTGTAATTGAAGAAATTCTATTCATTAATACCATTTATTGTGTATATAATATATACAACATGTGATATGGTTAGATGGATTATTATTATTTTGGTTATCTTACACACGACGTGTACATACACGTGTACATGTAAACACACAATAATATATGTTTATGAATTTAAATTTCCTACTGCTAAATAACTTTAAATTACTATATCATGTGTATAAAATTTGTTACTAATGCGGATATTAATTTGTTTAAAAATCATAATTGATGTTGGTCAGATTTGTGAAACAGGTTGAACACTTTTTTTTGGACTGTGAGTATAAAATTATTTTTGTTCCGGTAGATTATTATGCATAATAAGCATAGGAAACTTATATAGTCGCGTTGTTGTGCGAATCGCATGCCCGAAACATTTGTATTTAAATACCGAATTTTACTGATATGAAAAATAACATCTAAACCTAAGAGAAGATGAATGGTTTTTTTCATTTTTTATTTTTTAATATATTTTTACGATATTCAGAAAATAAATATTTACGCGTTTTGAATTTTAACGAGACATAGCCTTCTAAAGGTCACATGAAATTCAATTAGCTATATAGAAATATGATATTACACCTTGAAAACATATTTGATGGAAATTGTATCTTGCACGTAGGTCATTAAAATAAATAAATAGTTTATTTGGCTAACTAATTGTAACAATGTATGAAAACAGAGAATAATTTTGAGTGGTCATTATTTAATCACAAAAATATAAAAATATTTCTGTGAGCAGAAATTTTAATAGTAACTTTTGAAATTATTCATATATATATATATATATATACACGCTGAAGTCAGAAAATTACTGAAACGAAAAATACGAACTTGATGTGGTATTATACGGTGCCGTATGATCATTATATTATTTTTAGTGTATAATATATGTAAGCAAATAATTAGTATGTTAATTATAAAATTATATCATTGAGAATAGATTATTTATTCTCTATATTATGTTATTTTATTGTTAGGTTAAAAATGTTTATCATCGTAGTTATTAAAACTCAAACAGTGGAATAGTGAAATGATTATATCATTGGTTAAGAGCTGAAGATTTTTAATTAATTATTAAAGGTATTGTTAAGGTTTACAGTTGATATTTTGAAAAACATCCAGGGATATATAATATATAGCTTTCTTAAAGTGCTATAGGCTTCTTTGATTCTAAGTCATTGCGACATGGACAAAAACAATTGGCTTTTGATAGGTTTCTTAATCATAATACCATGGAACCAGTCAATATCGATGTTTTCGGGATAAAAATATGAACAATGTTTTTTTTTAATTATTGCATAGATCGTAGGAAATAGATAATAAATATCGACGCAGGAACCGCAATGCTGACTGCAATAATATCCGGTAGCTGTTCTGTAGCTTAATGATTTGCATGCAAAACAAAAGTTTCGCCTGCGTTATTTTACAGTTCTCACTCGTACATACACATACAAATAAGTAAGCCTCGCGGAGATTTCGATCGAACTGGTTACTACAGTTGTTAGTATCACTTTCATTACAGGTACTCTGCGTGTTTAGTTTCATTGCAGTGAAAAGGGCACTAATCCAAAATTGAAAATATAAAATAAAAAAGATTACACGTTTGTATGTATATCGCTTGGTTACCACACGATTGCGTACGATGCACCTTTTTGGGAACACGATTCCGTACCTTAAAACAATTAACTTTAATATTTACCCCAAAAGTCGAACGATCGTGTATGATTTACCGTGATACGTTGCAACATTTAAGTTATAATTTATGAAAATTAAATTTTGAAAAAATAACTTAAGTCAAAATATTTCAAATAATAAACGATTAAAATAATGAATTGTAAAAGCGCTGTAACTGTTTTATTTTTTCGGATTGTATAAGTTGAATTGCATTTTCCATATTACTAAACGTTGATATAATATACACTCGCTCAATGCACTACAACGATCAACGATCGTCTGAAGCACGGAAAATACTGTATTATATAACGGAAATAACGAAATTTCGCTAAATCTAATATAATTGATATTATTAACATTAAATAAATATCATTAAATGTACGTAATAAAAGCGATAAAACACAAAGTATTCATTAACTTTTTCTAGTTCACTCGTATAGTAATGTGGTATGCAACGCTTAAAACTTCGTACGGAATCGTATAGCTTAAAAATGTATCACCGATAGGGAACGTACGCACAATCGTGTTTTATTTTATCGTTTGCACACTTTATCCACTTGGCATGCACGTTGTCTACGTTTCAAGTGCATAATCTGATGTTTTAAACATCAGACTAATCTTATGGTTTCTAAAATTATAAATGGCGAAGTCGATTCCCCTGTCCCCCCATATAAACTCAATTTCAGAGCTGCAAGTTCCTATTCCAGATACTCTTTTCCTGTCTATATTCCTTTTAGCCGTTGTAATTATCTAACAAATCGTCCGTATAATGAAACTACCAATAAGGACCCACTATTCCTTAGTACTTAGAATTAAATAATTGTCTGGTTGTTCTTTATATCTAGTATTTATATTTTTTAATTTTTCTTAATTATTGTGTATAACTATACAATGGAATTGGGCACGACCCGTATTTAATAATAGTATAATACAAAATCAGGTCCTTCAAGTGCGCAGAAAAACGATTCATTTTCACCCCAGCTTTTGCACTAACTATTTTTAAGGGCAGAAACTACACACAGCTGGTATAATTTCCGGATGGTCGTGGTTATTTCTTTTTAGATCTTTTTAGATCTGCATTTAACTTTTTTACTAAGTGACAGCAAAACAGTAATGGTTTCATTCAAATTTTAAGATTAACACAAAGCAATAAAACATGAAACATTGAGCCAAGCCGTAGACTGGTCCACAAAATCACGAGGACCATCGTGTAGAATTTCTTGAATATTTTGAGCGCTGGCTATCGACCGCAATTGTATAGTAAAATTATGATAAATACGAACGAGCACGTGCTCGCCGCCAAGATCGCGTTCGATCTTTTAAAAGTGATTACTCGCGGATAGGATGACGGACCGCAGTCGGTCAAATGCAAAACATAATGTGACTTACCGATTAGCAACACGGTAATGTGAAGTAATATAAAACCGGATCTCGTTAATTTTTTCAACACGGCAATGTCCATGTTCGTCGTCCACTAAGCGTGCAGCTCGTCGTCAACTTGTTCAAAAACACTGATTTCTAGAGAGAAAAATGTAATTTTAGAAATCATAATCATCGTGTAGTATTTCATGTTACACACGCGCGTGAATACGTCAATAAGTATTAGTGCGCGTATTATCAAAAATATAATATACGCGCATGTCCATCCCCTCTATATCGTGTTGCATACGTATCAGTATACAGACCGCACGGAAAACGCGGGATTATATTTTTCAGTACGGCGGCGGCTGCGGCGGTTGTGACAGTTTTTGCATACGTGTGCAGCTAATAGGTACAGTGCGTAAAAAAATGAAAGTGCGAATGGCAAACGTTTTTTATTTTTATTTTCATTCTCGCTCAAGTTGAATTACCTCGACCGTACCCCATGATTCCGCGTGTGTAAACGATAAACGAGCGGTAAACACAATACATAACTATATACACTATATGCCTATATTAATATATATTTATATATACATACATACCTAAGTATTACATATCGGATGTTATACTATATGGTGTGTACCGTAAATGGGAACGTGAAACAACCGCTTTTCGAAAAACCAGGCTTGTTAAATCAATAGTTGTGTATTATATTATGCTTGAACTGTACGATGTTCTAAACGGAATCAGATATATTTTTGTACACTTCGACACTCGTGATCGAAAAGTTCTTATCGGTCTACTCGCTAATTTAATCGTTATCAAGATTTGTTTTTTGACCGATACGGGCGTGTGTATAGCAAATTCGAAGACGCGTTTTTTTTTTTTTACTTTTTTACGTTCTCGTTAAAAAAAAAAAAACACGTCCAATGTCGCACGTCACGCATGGCATTGGGCAGCGGGCGTGTTTCCTGATCCACCAAGATGGATAATAAATGTTTACGGACTTGGGCGGAAAGCGTATAAGTACACACACACACACTCGTACATGCGTATTATTGCTCTTTATTTTTAATGTATTTATTTTTAATTTTTAAATATCAACGATCGTTTATCGATGCTTTTCGAAGTGCTTAAGAGAGCTTAAGGGCTGACGCACGCCGAAGGTCGCAGTGAAAGCGACACTTTCTCTCCGGTCGCCCGGCACCGGCTAATCACGTATCCGGATGAACCTACACACGTGTCGGCGTCTCAGCAGCGCGCGTATACGTGCGTGAATTACGCAATCGTCCGGCTTCGTTGTCACTTCCGAAACGCGCGTGTCGAAGCGCGTCGAAACGGTCTTTCTGTGTCGTTTTTCCGGGATACCGGTGCCCGCGACTAGGGGGTGAGGGAAAAAAACGAGAGTTAGTGGTTGCGGACAAGGGGTACACAGGTGCACCGTAGTGATACCACGGCGGTGCGCTACGAGACACCGGAAACTTGAACGCCCGCGACGATGCGTCGTCGCATCCGCGTGCGCACATAATATTTATACGTTTGGTATGCTGTACCTGCAGAGGACGGATGTGTTTGTTGAGTGAACTCGTCGTCCCATTGCGGCTCGATCGCACCGTGCACGTAAAATGATGTACAGTATTATTATTATTATTATTATTATTATTATGATATAAATTCGAATGTATTACGGGAAGAGTAAAGTTATATATTGATGTTTAAAAAAAAAAACGAAAAAAGCGAAACTTCATACTCTCTAACTTAACACTCTCTGTATCGATAACGTACGCTTGTCGTTGCACCGCGCAAAAACACGTCTTTCCGTAACACTCCAACGTACAGCGATGTGCGTGTGTCTTGAGTGACGCGCACCTTATCACGTCGGTGTGGACACTACTGGAGAGCAGAAACCTGCGCGCACGAGACCACGGCAATGCCCCCGGCCTTCGACCGGGACCGGTGTGCGTGCCGACTCACCCCCACTCGGCTCCGGTTATTTTCCCACCAAGCGCGTCTTCTTTCACCTACTTTCCTCTGCACATAGAAAGCGTACCAGAGATATACAACGCGCGACTGGTTTCTCTCCCTCTCTCTCTCGCTCTCTCTCTCTCTCTCCCTTTTACCCTCTCTTTTTCTCCCTCTCTTTCTTAATCTTCTTTTATTTTTTCATGAAGGTACGACGTGTAGAAAAATCGCGACAATATTATGCGTTTCAGCATACGTTTGCACGCGCGCGCTTAGACGCATTCTTTCTCGTTCACGTCAAATACGCATCACACGAATTATACGTACCACATACGCTGCTCAGTCGAGGATGGCTGTATCGATAATTTCCCGAGCGTCTCTTAACATCGATTTTTAGATGTTTAATTTATTTCGCCTTAGTTAATCATATGTGTTTTTCTGTCAAGACTTATTCGTGCAGTGGCGATAGGTAAACTATATGCTATTTTGTATTGCAAAGTTGTTAACACGTACGCGGTACACGGTTAGGTGGACAGAAATAATATTCTCATCGAAGCATACGTGCTTTGGTAAAAACTTATCGTTGTGCAATCAGGCATTGAACTCGATCCGAATGAAACGTCATAATAATATCTGCGGTGTAGTACCTTATGCATACATGTATAATATACCTTTGGAAATAGTTCATTCCACGCGCGTCGATAGCTCAAGGTTGGATTTATGCGAGCCGTGTGTGCAATCATATGAAATTCGACGCACATGTTCCTCCCCGAATACTACCAGTAACTCCAATATCGTATGCACATCATAACAACTGCAGAATTTCCGTTTTTACCTTCAAAGCACCTGAAGTCCATCATTTTATCGTATTTTTCGGCTTAGAATTTTCGTCCAATCGCTACTACATGCGTGAAATATAAAGCGGATCGCTGTCAACTTCTCTCGGAGTCCGAACAAAGTCTCGATTATATCATACTACATCACTTATTATATTGATCTTCGAGCAACAATGATTTCCTACTGGAAACAGTTTCCTGAACTGCTCAAAAAAAAAAAAAAAAAACAATGAATTTCGATTAAAATAACAAAATAAAAATGTATAGAGGACTATTAGTACAACAAATATTAGATTACCAAAGAACGGTCGTTATCGTTATGTAGAAAGGTATAATATTGTGAGTACATACGTGCCTTTATAGAATAATTAGTTCTGTACATATTTATTTTGTATATATATATATACATTTATGTATATATTTGCATGTGAAATGTATGTATGACAGTGCTTTCAAATAAACAAATGCAGTATTAAATTTTCACCCAGAGAATGTGAATGTATTAAGAAAATATTATGTTTAAGAGAAAATATAATTTTTTACTTTACACAATACTATACATATATATATATATATATATAGGTATCTATAAATGTATACTATATGATATTATACGAATTTAAGTTTACATAGTTATAATACACGGGTTTTTTCAATTTAAAACCATGCACGACAATCAGATCAAAAAAACAAAATATTTATATAACTTCAGATCGATGTACTAATTGGTCGATGATCGAAAAGTTATCATATGGTAAACTTTAAAAGTTATAAACAAATGTAGTAAATTTTGTATTTCACTCAAAAACCATCATTGCGGAAGTGTACATTTTTACATTAGACTTTATACGTAGATTGTTCAATAATACGATAAGATTATGATGATCAATTGAACAAAATAATAATATATGTAGAGTTTCAGTTCCGATTTTCGGGCGGATCACGAAGTAGTCTTGGTCGCAGACACATAATCCCCGATACAATTACAACGCGATGATGTACATGAACCGCTTTTTCAAACCAACAATATTCTCTTAATCAAAGGTCTTAAATTAATAAATGCAACGGTTTAGAGCAGCACGAAAAGAAATTATGGGTTTGGATTTCCAATGGTTTTCAGATCACAATCTCATTCGCCTATTTCGTTTTGGATACAGTTTACAGCGGTAAATAATATTATTTGTTTAGACGTACATGGATACATTGAAAACCCGCTGCTGGAATGGCTCATATGTTCATCAAGCCGTGCGTCATCGATATGATGCATTGCACCGAATGTCCGTGTATAATAATAATAATAATAATATATATACCATAATAATAAGACGAGTATACTCACACATGCGCAGGTCCGTGGTAATAGCGTATACGTATTTATAAATACCTTCCCTTTCACGAAACTATTCGGTATTATACATATGCTTTCTATTCGACCCAGGCTACTGGTCGATGAGTTTTTACACCGAACGGTAATCCGGCACAACGCCAGTTTATCTACGTATAAAATATGTACAACACGTATGCAATACGCAGTGTTATTGTTCATTACATATACAGGGTGACCTTGCTGGCGCCGTTCAAAGAGAAAACAATATTTAGATTTAAATGTACTGAACACCTTTGAGGCATTGGGCGAACACGTGGATTTTTAATAATACGTGAACAAATCGAATGTGTATGTGTAAGTATGTACATAAAGATGAGATGAAATGAAGTACAACCAGTATACCCATTCCCGTGTATTGTGTGTGTGTGTGTGTGTGTCTGTGTCTGTGTGTTTTTCGGATACAATCTCCTCCGGTCAGGGTGCATTGCGATGGATATATTATCATTAATTTTATTATTATTTTTATTATATTTCACCACACTCATGTACATTATACGTGTAGACCGACGAAGGACGTTTATGTTTTTTGTTGTAGAGACTTTCCCAATTCGACATTTTGACACACGCCGCCGCCACAGTCGTTGAACATTATGTAGTGTATGTATGTACACTAATAGTACATTAAGAGCTGCATATTACACGGCATACCTTTAATAGCGGTGTACATATTGCGCACACGCGTATATACGGACGTATTATTAGTGCTATACGTGTGGGGTTGATTTCTTTTTCTCGCGAACATTTCTTGATTTAGTAATGAGAAGAAGAAGAATAAAAACAAGTATGGCACATTTCGCAAGAACAATAACACAATTTTTTTAATTTATCATGCCATAAATATTCATACAGCGTGTTAAAGAAAGAAAAATTCATATTTTTTTAGAGGCCGTAAGATGAGCGTATCTAAATCTGATGAACATAATATTATATAGAAACATACTGTATTGAATCGGTTCAAACATACAAAGAAATTACTCGAATTGTTCTGGAACAAAATTTAGAACTACTTATCCCTCACACTTTTTTCGTACCGCGAGGATGGTACATGACGACCACTATGTACGAATGTTTGAGCTAAAACACAATAATACAAATCGTTATTAAAAATATTATAAAACCGCTGATTAAGTTTTTTTTTCACCTGTTACTTCTTCAAAATACATTTTTATACGATTTTTGTAGTTTCATTACATTATTGTAATACATACATTATAGTATTTATGTACTTACGCGCACGCTTGACCCGTTAAAACGGCATTTCAATAATTGTCTACACGGCCTGATAATTACTAATTATTGTGTTTTTATATTTAGTAACAAAATATAATAGTAAGACGAAATATGCGGTGGATATAAATGAACACGGTTAATTAACCAGAAAACGAACCAAGGTATACGAAAGTCCCCATAGTAGGCACTTTAACGACACCGTTTATATTAACACGTAATCATAATAATATTATACTAATATGTAAAATACATAACTAATTATTCGATTAAAATTGTGTCACAAGAGGGATGTTTATATATATCTCGTGCAATGTCCATCTAGTTAATCAAGTATCTACCCACACACACACATACACATTGGTCCTATACGGTCTGACAAGCATATTATGCCTGTCTATAAACAATGTAATTTCGAGAGTGAAAAATATTATAGTGCGCACCTATCTATAAATACCGAGTGACGATACTATTATGATATAGAGTATTGTCGATTTTTCAGACTGTTATTATAAGGAAAAAAATTTAATATTTGTATAACATCCATATGCGAATTCGAGTGTAGTAATTTAAGTCATTGAATACAGTACGTATACACATGAATAATGTAAGGAATCACGTAACGTCAAATTAAATAAAAAATACCTGGGGATGGGTAATAATAATAATACTCGAGTAGTAATGGTACACAAAATAGATACCCACGTCAAACTCGAATATATTTATTAATTCTTTCGTCACAAAATGATTTTTAACGTTTTATTTTTAAATTGATTATAAATACAATTTTGCTTAGTATCTACTATTGTAGTGACTGGAACTTTATTGGACTCGTTTATCGAAATAATAAAAACAAAGATATTTTAATTAATTCGTACATTTCCCAAATACTCTTCAGTATGTCTACTGGTATGCACACACAAACACACACACACTCACATATACACGAGGACCACCCATTGATGTGATGATGAAATTTATTTTCCAACCATTATATTATTGTCGCAACCGTCGTGGGTCCGTCATCCATTAGTGTGAAACTGTTATCGTGACTTATCGTCAAGTATACTGAACTCAGAACAAAGTGCGAGAGTATGCTAATGGGTCGACTATAATTTATAATTCCTACACCGAAGAGTATTTCACCAGCACGCACGTTCATCATGCACCGTTAGTGCGAACACTAATCTTATTCGGTTCGAATAAAGGAAAATACGAATTGAAATAAATTCATATTGTTACACTTTTGGCCACGCATCTTTAAAAACGTTGCAAGACGACGTTTCAAACCTCGAAGAACCCGATAGACGTATTTCACACAGCGTACATATTTAAGCCAGGATTGCATGATAGAGAAAACGGTATAAATACGAGTTATGGGAATCGTGCAACAATATTCCAATGCGATAGTTACTACGTAAATACTGTTACAAATATTAAAATATTAATTATTTAATTAAATATTGTAGTAACAAAGTTTCCCAAAGGGCCAGTGACAGTTGCTACCAAACTATGGACA